TTCTGTTGAAAATCACTATCCCAAGAAGCAGTGTTTTAAGTGAAAAGCTCTTCCCAGGTTAACTGCTGGCAGTGAATATTACCTTCCCATGCTCCCTGATGTTCTTTAGAACCATATTTTAAAGTGCTCGGAACTTCCATGGAAGACGGTGGGAAGGGTGAATTTTGCTGGTGTCATGTTGTGCTGATGCTGTTTCCTCTGCTAGTGCTTGCTGCTGTCATGTTGTGAACTGCTTTTTAGTGTATGATCTTAAACTAGCTTGTAGGGTATCACAGAGTGCAAGCACTTCATCAGTTTGATTCACGTGTACCACTCTCACTTCCCACGCTCCCAAGTCTCTTGGTGTAGTTTTGAAGTTACTATAATGTCTCCTCACCTGCCTGTTTAAAGCATGGGCAAGTGTCATTGCCCTTCCTTGTTATAATTGAAAGCTGTATGTTGCATAAAGAATAGTACAATAGCTGGCTTCATGATCTGAGTAATTTTAAGTGTCATGTGTGCTGGGAGTCTTTGCCAAGATCTGCTTTCTCTCTGCCTCTTTGTAGGTGCATGTATTTTGCAACGGGGAAACAAGTGTCTTGCCTCTTCTGCGTCATTAATGGAGATGGGGGTGGAGTACAGAGTTGGTTGGTTGCAGAATTCTAAGTAATGGCTTGGAGGAAAGGAAAATAGCGAAAAGCTCGCTGAATGCAATGGCAGGCTTTTCCTCTTCCTCCTCCTCTGCTGCAATCCTTACTTGACCCTGATGCTGCAGCAGAGAGCTGGGCTGCTGCTGTTTCTCCTGAGCGTGTGCAGAGCAGGTGGGAGGGAGCAGGATGAAATTGTGCTTTACAGGTCACCGGCAGGTTGCACAAGTTTCTGTCGTCTCTCTTCCTCCTCCCTCCTTTCTGTTTATTTTTTTGCCTTTAACCCAAGTTTTTGAAAGTTTAGCGGCATTTGCATTTCAGACAGCCACATTAATGTTTTTTGGGTTTTTTGTTGTTGTTTGTTTTTTTTTTTTAAAGACTTGAGGTTGTACTTTGTGAATGCTTTCGGATACTTGTGTAATAATTTAGTTTTGTTTCTGGGAGGGGAGGAAAGCATAGCTATTTTTTTTTGTCTGACTGCACAGCTTGTTTTCATAATGTGGATCACTTGGAAATAATTCCAGATACTAGTTAAGTCTAAAAAAGACCTTGTTACAGGATTATAGGATTACTGATGACACCTAAGATTGACATGTTCAGTCCGTGCGTTCTTTAATTAGAATCATCTGTACCATAGGTGTGTGCTTTATAAAGGACATATTTGCATTCATTCTCAATCCCAAGCTGCAATTTTGCAGCTTCTTTGTATTTATCTGATAATTTATGACTTAGGTAAAGGGACAAGCCTGGCTTGTCATGTTTTAAAGGTAATGTATTGTACTTTACCCTCTGAGTGGTTATGTTCTGCAGCTCTTCAGTAGCAGACTTCTTAACAGACTTGGTTTTGGTAATGTAGTGCAATCAGACTTTCTCAAGTGTTCTTTTTTTTTTTTCAGAATAAGTTACCATAGAGTGTAGAAGCTGCAATACGGCGTATGACGTAGAGAGAACTTAATGACTGTTGCCATAAAAATTGGAGGTGGTCCTGTGCACTTTACAGTGCGGAAAATCTAGTCTGGGATGGGATGGGTATTGTTGAGGGTTTGATTAAAAGTGATTTAGTTAAAAGATGAGAAAAATTAATAAATAGACATGAATGCCTGCTACTAATTAAAAATCACTCTTAAAATAGTATTTCCTCAAAATCAGTTTGATTACGCATCGCACTTTGTATATTAAATTATGTATGACAACCTTTTTGTGGTTTTGGTGAAATTAAGTTCTAAACTTAGAAAACTGAATGTCAGTTTGCACTGCCTGTGTGTCCTCTTACGTTGAATCTGGCAAGTTTGTTTCTAAAGCAGTTTGTTTTGTCTTTATCCAGTCACTCAGCATGTATTTGTACTTACTTCTGTATTGCCAGTCTTGGATCAATCTGTCTTAACATGATTTATGAAAGACCTCTTAAACTTACAGCTCCAGGATCACTGAGCTGAATTATATTGCTGGCAGCGATTTCTGTTATTAAGTGGTGATTCTGAATCTTGCGTGTGGCAGACCTTGTCACAGCAGTTGTTGAGGTCAGGGTGCTGTACTTCAAGTACATTTGCAACCAAAGTGGCAGAACAGCATGAACTCAGGGTTGTGGTAAAACAATTCCAAAACTGGGTCAGATGAGCTTTGCGTGGTTTCTTAAGGCAGAATGAACTTAAATTCACACCTTCAGAATTCTAAGATGTCTTGATTTTCCTCTCGAAATACCCTGTCCCATGGAGCTCTGTGCTCCTGCTGATACACTCAGCTGGTGTTGATTTAGTAGGCGCTAGTATGCAGGAGGCTGTGTTACACATAGGGAGTTTTAAGTAAATAAGCAAAAATGTAGGTCTGAATATATACTGCTGTGAAATTCCTGTACCAAGCAGCAGACTTTACATGAATATACGGGTTTATGCTCACCTTTTGCCACAGTCACTGGCCAATAAAGATTCCTGTAACCCACAAGTTGTAGCATTTATACTGCAATGTTCATTGGTGTCCAGGTGCTTGGAACAGACCCTGCACTATGTGTTGTGGAATTTAATGGAAGTGGTGTGGTTGCTTCTATGAAATGTAATGCAACAGTAGTGCAGTAGGTTTAAAAATGAGGCAAATACATCTGACTCAGCAAATGCAGTGTTCAGCATTTAATTAAGTACTATCTTCAGCCTAACTAAATATCTTTTAAACTTAAAGCTAGCTTTCTAGGAATCTGCAGCTTTACATGTAGCTACAGAGAACTTCCACATCTATAGGCAGAGCATATAAAATAGTGACAGTACGAGTGCGCCTTCACTGTATATTGAGTTCTGCTTTGTTGTTATATTGTATTTTCAGTGTCAGAGTTGTGAGAGAATTTGTAGGATTATTAATACTATGGAAACTTTTTTCGTCCCTGTATTTTTCTACATTTTGCAGCTACAGTGTTATTTTAGAATTATCTGAAAACAGTGAATATAAACAGTGCTGTTAGGAGAGGAGTGACTTTTGCTAGCTGGATTAAATGAAAATGTCTGTTTACAGAACAGGTTGTTATTTTATTAGGAATAACTGAAATAAACAGAGCTGTTGGCAAATACAACTTGCATGGCTATAGACTGGAAGCAAGAAACAGGATCTGATCTATGTAGATCAATAGAGTTCAGTATGAGAGATGATTAAACGTTCAGACCCTGCCTTTGTATCAGGAATGTGTCTCTTCATTCTGGCAGCCAGCTGAACCTTCATATTTATAAATCTGAAAATGCTTAAGCTTGAATCACACCTGAAGAATGACAAATCCGTAAAATGAACTGATTAATATTTCTGCTACTTGGCTATAGAAGAATTTTATATTCATCAATAACCAGCTGCTCTTTTTGTTACTAATCATGTTGTGTAGCTGTGATAATGTGTGAAACGTGATCTGGAGTTTGTATGTAAAGATATTTTTGAAGAGGTGGAGGGAGGAGAAGGTATGGGACCAAGGGTGTGTTTTGTACTCATTCTCTTCACAGTTGCAGAGGAATCTTTTTAACAAATTGAAAATAATTCAGATTACAACTTCAATTCATTTTTTCCTGTTTATCATTTAGTTAAGTTTTAAACATGATTGAAATGCAAGATAACTTGAATAAATGAATACAAATGAAGTCTTAAGACTTGTGTAATCATAGATACTATTGTTAGTTACAGGATACTTGCCATGGCTTTGTAAATGTAGTTTCAGGTTAACTGAAATTTAGATTTTACTTTGAAACTGGTGAATCTTCTGTTTTACAAGACAACCCACTTATTGAGAGTAAAGATTTTTCTGCTTCCTTTATTTATTTATCTTCCTTTGATTTGAAGTAATGATACAATTCTATTAATGTCTTCAAAACTTCTCCCTCACATTTCATGGCAGAAAAAACTCGTACCTCAAATATATTTACTTATTCATTAGGTGGATACTGTCCTAGTTTAATTTGTGTGGCTCTTCTTTTTTAATGTATTGTCCTGCAGAATGAATAAACTCCTGTTGAAGGTGTTCTTTTGGGTTTCTTATGTAAGTTTTTGTAGCCACTGAATTTTCTAATGGAGTAATATATTCCTGATAAGTGAAGAGAATTGTTAAATCCTGAGTCACTAAAACATATCTTGTCAATGTGGCCTCTTTATATGTCTTCATGTTGACAGTGTATTTATGTGAAAATGCTTCCTGTTACTTAATTTTCATTTCTATTCCTGAGAGTTTGTATCAGTAATGTGTAACTCTGTACTGCACACCTTAGAATGAGAAGTGCCTTTGGGATTCCTTTCTATATTGCAGGATGCCTAGGCGTTAATGAAGGATGTAGTACTACTAACTCAGTTCTGATATTTTGCTTTTGATTTTTCTGAGTTCTGTAATCAACATATGGCACGACACTTTCAGACAGCATACTGTAAGAAATGGCAGTGGTTAATAGTTTCTTTTATCAGTTGAGATTGGTGATGTGGTTTTTTGTGTGTTGTGGGGTTTTTTTGTTTTGGTTTTCTTTATTAATATATGTATAGTATAGAGGCAGAGAGTAATTTTTCTTACACTGATGGGTCTAGAAATGATTTGTAGGAAGTTGGTTTTAGAGAATATTTTCAGATCTCTGGCTGAATGGAAATTGTATACTAACTCAGTAGTAGGTTAAGTGTTGGGGTGGTAGTATTTAGGAAAACTAAATCAATTGAATACTGTGACAAGTGGAAGGATTTTATGATTACTTGTTTGGTGTGGGGTGGGATTTGGCAAGTATTTCATATAGTCTGACAAAAGTTGTTGCATACTGCAGCATCTACGGTATAACTGCATGTCTGAATGCACTGTTTCTTTTTACTGCTTCAGCACTAACTGGGTGCTTCCCCCACCCCTTTTTCTTTTTAAAGGTTGCAAGAAACTTTCTTGTAAGGATGTACCAGTATCATCACAAATGAATCCTTTCTGCCTTTCCATAACGGTAAACTAATTGCAAGTTTCAGTCAGCAGATATTTCCCTGCCTTTTTGACTCCTCAAGATGGATATTTTTTGAGATGCATCCAAGCAGTGTGTGGAATCCTTTGATTTGTGTTTGAGGTGTGAACAATCTTGGAAAGATTTGCTGAAAGAATAAGGAGGAACCTCTATGGGTAATCCTTGGCTGGAAACAATTACTGGTCAACCATGGTAAAACTTGCCAACCCTCTTTATACGGAGTGGATTCTTGAAGCTATACAAAAAGTTAAAAAGCAAAAGCAAAGGCCCTCTGAAGAGAGAATATGTCATGCTGTTTGTGCTTCCCATGGATTAGATAAGAAGACTGTTTCGGAACAGTTGGAACTCAGTGTTCAAGATGGCTCTATTCTTAAAGTTACCAACAAAGGCCTTGCATCCTACAAGGACCCAGATAATCCTGGACGGTTTTCATCTGTTAAACCTGGCACTATTCCTAAATCTGTTAAGGGATCTAGAGGAGCTTGTAGTGAGCTGCGTAATGTGGATTGGAATAAACTCTTGAGAAGAGCAATTGAAGGACTTCAAGAACCAAATGGCTCCTCCCTGAAAAACATAGAGAAGTATTTGAGAAGTCAAAATGACCTAGCAAATATTTTCAACAATCCTGCCTTTCAGCAGAGGTTGCGTCTGGGGGCCAAACGTGCTGTGAACAATGGGAGGTTACTGAAGGATGGACCTCAGTATAGAGTGAATTATGGCAGCTTGGAGAGCAAGGGAGCTCCAAAATACTCCAGCACTTTCCCAGCTTCTCTTCCACCTGTCAGCCTTCTACCGCATGAAAAAGACCAGGTAAGTCTGGAAAATGAAAGCAAAGGTAGTAATGCAAAAATGATTCTTCTTGTTTCTTGTTTACCTAATGCAAAAATAATGATTCTTCTTGTTCTTTATTCACCTGTTTAAACGTATATAAGTGGGGGTGCGTGTCCAAGGTCTGTGCAGAATCAGTTCTTGGTAAAGGAAGTTTACGTAGCTCTCTGCGTCCTCCCATTCTGTGTTGGATAGTTTGCTCTGGATTTTCAGTAGCTGAACAGAGCAGCAGGGAAAAGTACTGCTGTATGCTCTCTTCTAGGCGTGAAATTGTTCTGTCTTGCCTGGCAGACTGATGTTGCTGAAATCTGCGGTGTTGTTTGATTGTGGCCTTTTACCTTCATTTTATGCCCGGGCATACTGATTTTTTTTCTAGTTTGAACACCATCTGAAATACTACCAGTAGAACTTGTGATATTTAAGTCTGTTAGAATTAGTTTTTTTAAAGGTATTTGTATGCCGATACTTAGCTTTAAAACAACAGTTAATTGGAGCTGGAGTTAATGTAAATATTCTAGAACTGTAAGTGAAGGTGTCAGAGTGACAGAACTGTGGAATCTTCCTCCTATTTAATTTTTTAAAAACTTCCTACATGGGTTTATTTTTGCTATTACTTGGGCCTTGTTTTCAGGTTAGTTATTCACAGGATTTAAGCCTTGAGGGAGAAGGGGGTGTCAGTTAGTGTTTTGTTTACGAAAGGGTTGTGTCAAAGGCATGTCTGTAGGCATCCTTTGATCATTCCCCATTTAGTATGGTGAAGTGTGTTTTGAATTTTCAGTGGGGGGGAAGGAGGGGGAAGTGGGGTGTGAAGGGGAAAGCTACCTGTTCTACTTGAATTGGGTAACTTTGTACGTTACAGTATTTGTAAGTTGTTGGTTTGGTGTTCTGTTAGGATTTCTTTTTCACTGTTTGGTTTGGGTTTTTTTTTCACTTCCCCGTGGTAGGGTTTAGTGGCAGTTCTTTTGGCATGGAATAACCCAAACAGCTTTACCATTGTAGAAGTGCTTTTAAGTGTCTTCTTCTAGAAACTGCATGATGGTTTTCACTTGCCAAGCGCTTGTATTAGAAATATTTAGTGAAGTCTGCAAGAATGGTTTAGTGGAATGGTCAGAGTTGACACTGCAGTGTTGCTAGCTGTAGGTTGATTTTTCTGAGAGTCTCTAAATACATGTTAAATATGATTATATTATAATTAGATATATGTAGATATTTCTGATTCTGTCAAATTGGACTTCTTGGATATTTGAAGGGTGCATGGAGCTTCACGTTCAATAATCAGAATGGAAATTCAGAAGCGTTGCTTACTGTGCAGCTACTGCTGTAGCCATGCACTATAAAGATTTAATTACTTGTAGCACTAAAGCTGCCTGTTTAAGTACTTTCAGAAATTCTTCTGTAATTCTGATACTCCAGTGGCATGAAAACTTTGAAGGCTGGAGTATTGAGTAACCAAAATATTTTAATACTATGATGTTTCACGTGAATTCTGTGGAAACAAAAACCTCCCTCGTTGGGCTACCTACTGGGACTGGCATCCATTGCAAGGAATGTTAGTTGGGTCATGGTGCCGAAAAAGCCGTTACTGCCATACTCAAATACTGGTATACGGATAAATCTGTCTTTTAGAAGTTAGCCAAACAAATCTGTTCTCTAGCAAGTGCTTTGGCAAGAAATAAGCTTTCATTTGGGTGCCTCAAAATTAGCAGTGTGACGTGCATGTTTGAAAACTGTTCGGCATACACTTCTTCCTGACAAAAATAGTTTTGATGTGAGATTGGTGAATTAGCAGTTGCATATCAGTGTAGTGCTTGGTTTAAATATGAGGGTTTTGGTGGTTTTCAAGCTGTATGGTTTTAAATACACTTAGGAGACAGTTCTGAAAGTACCTGAAAAGAGGTGTTTCTATTATGGGGATGTGACTGCTTGTTCATTTGAAATTTATGCTAATTCATGAAAGAGCAGAATAACACTGCAGGACAACTATTAGGCTGTCTTTAATGGAAGCATTTAAGTGGCAGTATGGGGCATATCAAGATTATTTATTGAATTTTATGCAACAAAATTTAGCCAATGGGCATCTCTCAGGAATGGCTGGTCTTTGAAGAGAGTGGTGTATTTTAAAGTTTCTATGGCTGTTTATATAGCTAGTGCAGGTAAGAGCTTTTTTTTTTTTGTTTGGATGGCTCTTTTTGTTTGTTTGGGGTGTTTTTAAATACTAGAGGTGAAGTTCAAGGATCTCTTCTGTTGACTTTTCTTGAGGAGAAGAAAGAACGGGAGGATGTGCAGAAATCTGTTTAGGTGGCTGTGACAGTTTGAGTAATTTTGACTTTTTAATGCATAATTAATATTTCATCAGCATGAGACAGTTAAAAGATTCAGTGCATTAGAAGTGCACTGAGCTTTCTGTTTCAGTCTGAACTTTCACAATTATAGTAGCAAATGCAGCCTCTGAACCTGTCTTGCTGCGTGAGTAGAAGGTGGTCAGAAGAGAAACAGTACTGCCTGTTTGGTTTCTTTTCTGTAATTTTTGTTTTGGTGTTGGTTTCTTTGTTGTTTTTTCCTCCTCCACTCTCCCCCATAAAGGCATCAGGGTATTTAGTGCACTGAGAAGATAGATACTATTATAGTGCAGTGCCACTGAAGTTATGTTTGCAGACCTGGATCCTTGACTGTTATGAGGATGCCAAGTGTTTTGCATTCGATGACACACACAGGGAACAGGGAGCTGCGAATGCTAAGTTTTTGTCGTGGTGGTGGTGATACGGAGCTGCTTTTCTCGTCATCTTAACTGGGTGATCCAATACAACTAGATACAGTCCTCTTGTTTAATTAGATGTAGAAATAGGTGCAATTAGTTACAGCACTATAGCTTGTATTGCCATGTTTCCTTCTGTTATTCACAGACCTGGAAGGAAGCATTTGTGTAAAAACGCTTCCATCAAGTGTTATCCTGACTTTGGGCAAAGATTGTCAATTTGGAGTTACAGGAAGAGGAAGCATGCAGTGCAGCTGTTTAAATCTTCTCTTCCTCCATACCTTTCCATTTCATAGTGCATGTGGAGGGTTGCGTTTGAACTTCTGTATGGAGAGATGCAAGCACAAGGCTCATAAGGACAGATTCCATTGGAAGGTCAATAGCTGTCATCAGCTGTGCAGTGGCTGTGCATCATACTAAGTGTAATGAGTAGTATAAATTACACTTCAAAAGGACATCCCAGTTATCCTAAATATTCTGGTGGTTACATTAAGGTAGATGCTTACTTGATGTGGACAGGTAACGTGAATCAAAGCACTTCAAAAGATGCCTGTTTTAAGGTGTTAAAGTGGTGTGTCAAAGGACCAGCCTCCAGCCAGAGGTGGAACTGACTTCACAATGAAGGGAAACTGAAAACAGCGGTGCTTTAGGATGAAGACTTGTAATGTTGGTTTGTTTTTTTTCCTGCAAATAAGAAATAAAACCCACACATACAAGAAAGCAGACAAAACAGGAAATTTGTTGCTCAGGAGTCTGATCTTGTACATGTCACTGTATTGCAGTGCATAGTTAATTTTAATGGTTTAACTGCTTTTACAGTGTTCTTCGTTATGTTCAGAGTATCTTGCATAGATATCTTCTCTCTTGCACTTAACACCTTCTCTCACCCAGCATCTTCTGAAAATGGCTATATGAGTATAAAATGCAGTGTAAAAATTGATGACATAGTAGTAGAGGGTGTGAACAGAGAGGAGAATAAACCTGAACATTTTGGGGGATACTTAGCTTTTCAATAAGCCTTTGATGTGTTAAAATTCACTTCTGGAAATGCAGCAGTAAAGTGGTGTTTAAAAATGATGGTTAGTCTTTAAATGGGTGTTTAATTTATCTTTAATGGTGCCAGTTGTAGAATGGCGATGGTGGTGGTGTTTTCTCTGCACACGTGCACTGTGCTGGTCCTTATTTTCCTTGTCACTTGAAAGGTTCTGCAGTTTGGGAACTGTGTGAAACCTACCAGGTCTTAAGAGTCAGCCATCTCCTGAGCACAAATGCTGTGTGAGTATAAACCCGAAGAAGCAGATATTTGTAGGCTGTAGACAGCCCTTTATTGACTTATTTTAAGCATTATTTAAAAGGATAAATCCAGCTTTTAAAGGGGGAGAGGCAATGGCTATTGAGATGTTTTCAGAGGACTGTAGGAGGATGTAGTATATTGCAGTGGTCACGTATTTTCTGTCTTCAGAATAACTACTACTTAAAGTATACTTGGAAAGATGTAGTGCAAATGGAGATGACTAGATCCATACTATTTTCTTGGTTCTCCTGAGCATTCTCTTGAACAGCTCAGCAACTATTTTAATAGTTGTTTCCATCTGATTCTTGGCATGAAAATCTTTCTTAATCCCCTTTCACTTTCAGTTTGTCTTTCTAAGCTGACTTTCATGCAAACCCAAACTTGTTTTATTATTTTTTCATACTCTGAACTCCTATCTAATTTTGTTTTCACTGGCCTACATACATTTAGCTTTTCAAAGTGTAGCTTGGCATGGGTTGAATTTCAGTTTTCTGGTATGTAGCTTGTGCCAGTGCAGACACTGGGTGTTTCTCCTTCTGCCTTTCAGGCAAAGGGCCAATCTATAGAGAATTGCTTTTTTGGCATCCAGGCTCCTCCCTACTCAGTTTTTCAGCTTCCCGCTTTCCTGTGGGTAGGCAACAAGAGGCTGTTGGCTGAGATTTCTTTGCTTGCTCTATCTTGTTCCCTTTGGCCTTTAAACGTTCTACTAAACAGAAACAGAAAAGTTAGGCAGAAAGGAAATGCTGCACAATGTATCTTACTGATTTACACATAAGGGGATATTCATAATGCCTAAAACTTGGAGCTGGCTTTTTGTGGAGTCTGTACTTCTGAGGGTGAGTCTGAGCACTAAAATGGCAGTGATATGTTAAGCTTCTGTAAGAGTGTCTGCAGTGCTACAGTTGAAGAGACTGTGGATGGGTATGTAAAAAG